CTGACTAGCTCAAGTCATCCTATTGGCGACCTGAACTAATGGTTCTTTGATAGGTAGCCAATGTCATCTCACTCGATTCCCTGTCCATTTACACCACACTCATTCAAATATGTTAAATACCGCTCTCTTAACCTTTGCAATTGTATGAATTGAAAAGACCTTGCCGAAAACATGTTCGTCAACCCATCTGTGTTCTAGAAAATTTTTTCTCAGTACGGGTAGTGGGTGCGTGGAATGACTTTTCTCCGGTGGTTGTTCACGCTCCTTCTAGAACCCAGTTTAAAGCACTATGAGACACTTATTTATGCGAATCCTCGTGCTGGCAATCAAACTGCCCCGCGCTGAGACTATAAACAGGAGTGCTGCACCCTTTTTTCACTTGTGTCTTGCAGGCAAACGGCAGCCACTGACCGACAAGAACAAAACCGAGTCGGAAAACTTAGGCAAAAGCCTCGTTCCTGTGTATCAATCCGTAACTTCAGAAAAGCTCTGTGCCTGGAATTTTGCGAAAACTGCAATGGTAACTGATTGATACTGGTGTGAACATGGGTCATAACTTGCGGACCACCGGATTTGCGGTAGGAAGCTTGCGCTGTTAAAATATAGTAGACAATATTGCACTGCCGAATATTAAAACGGTAGAAGAAAATTCTATTTGGGTTTATACTCTCCGGTTGCTATAGTTTTTTAGCTTTTCAAACATTGTATTGTCCCTTGTTCTTTTCTCGTCCTTCCGGTGCTCCAGAAATAGATCTGGTTTTGAAATAATCCCGCGATTAGAGACTTATTGACATTATTTTAATTCATTGTATGTGTTAGTTCTCGTTGAACGCATATTTCAACAAAGTCGTAGAGAGGAGAAGGAAGACCGGACACGTTGGACCTCAAGATCGAATAAAACCCGAAAACGTTCAGTAGATGCGGACCCTACGGCCATCGGACAGCAATTCCAAGAGTCCGAAAAACCGAAGACGATACCATCGTTAATTTCGGCAGAACGGCCGAGCAGTGCACTGGTGGCTTGCGGATAAATCTCGATGTCTATATCACACAAATAGGGCTATAGCTGAATTCCCCATTAGAGAGCTACAAATTTTTCCGGATCCATTCAAGAGTTAGTGGCAGGAGGTCCTGTTTTATAATTGAATGCGACTTTCTAAAGTCTAGCTTTCATCTCTGAAATCATCGATGTACCAATTTGTGACATACAGTGGCTTCAATTATCACTGCATGATACCATCTATCTTTCCCTGTAGGTCGTTTAACTATGTTCAGCTATATTCGCCGGATAGGACTCATAGAATGGTCTTTGGCAAGATTTCAACCACGCCACTGCCCTAGGTATGCTCAGGAGCTTTCACGCAATGCATAAGCAACGATAATGCTCGAACAAATTAGGCCTGGAAACGAGTTTTGACAAATGTAGAAAAGCCCAAGTTGCTCATATATAGCAGGGATTGTGCAGTCCTCAAATGAGCTAGGCAAACTGCAGCAAAAATCTGTGGACTTATAACGTTCGGTGAGCAAGCGGTGGTGAAGACGATCATAAGTGACCGGCGGAGAGTTACGACGAAAAACGTACAATCGGCGCTTCTCTTAACAAAGCGAGCAGTCGTCGACGATTTCTGAATATGTTGAGGAGAGCCAGGAAGAAAGAAGTATATGGCGCTTACCTAGGTAAAACAAACTGGGCACGTAGTTTCGCCTAGTGTACAAAAACGAGGAATGGATACCAAGAAGTGGGAATAGCTGCTACATTAGCCCCTACCAACGAAATTAACGTAAAGGCCAATGCAAGGTGCGCATCATGGTTTGAAATTAAAGGCCTGAGCCGTATAACTGCAAGGCGTTTTACCTTAGCGCCTCTATGGGCTTCCGTCGCTAGGAGAAAGCAAGCAACGTATGTCATTAAACTTAGCTGGTGTGCTACAGAAATCGGGGATAAAATATGACAATCTAGGTTTTTGATTGAAAAATTCTAATGGTGTAATCCGTTGGGTAGAATGAACGGCCCAGGTGCTTTTGCAGGTGGTGGTCAGAAAGCTTCCGCGCCGGCGGATATATCAATCATTGGAGTGCTCCGGGTTGCCCACACGCTGAGTTACGACCGTGTGACCAACAGTGTGGGACGATCAGGTTGCCTGAGGCGAGATGGAGGGAGCAACTCAGAAACAGTTAGTAACAACGATGTCAGTGGTCTTTGAAGATGTGTCCATTATGTACCCACGTCGCAGGAAAACTCAGCTTCTTTGGTTTTTACGCTTTATTTTTCTAGGCGAAACCTAACTGACCTAAAATGGCAGGCACCAAACCTAGCTAAAGTGTGGTCTGTCAAATTCAGCCATATTGTAGTGTGATGCTTCGGATCGCCGGCGTGGGTCCTGTGAGAGTCACAATGGGTACCTCTACACTTTCCCCAGCCAGCTTTTTTGGGCGTTGGGCCGGTGGCGACAGGTCAGTTTTGCCAAGTGGGCATGAATTAAAAATACCACGGGTTTGTGTGGGTGACGAGATGGAGAAGGTCTTTGCGATGGGTGGATGTTAGCCAAGTCGGAGGCCGGTGGCGGTCAGTTTTGCCAAGTGGGCATGAATTAAAAATACCACGGGTTTGTGTGGGTGACGAGATGGAGAAGGCCTTTGCGATGGGTGGATGTTAGCCAAGTCGGATTCGCAAGCGAAGGCAGTTTCATAGGTCCAAAAGCGATGATTTCCGATTCGACTGCTTTCAGCACTGTAAGATATCCTTGGGGCTTTTTACCCTAAACTGGCTACATTACCCTGGCTGCATAGTGGCTTGATTACAAACGCAAAGTATCTGCACGTGATCGGTTTGTTATGCCTCCGTAGAGCGTATCGCGGCGGACTTCTTTGAGGTTCACTGCAGGCATCAAAGATCAAATATGCGACGCCATCCGGTTGCCGCACAAATCGCAGCCATCTGGCTTGAATATTTTGAAAGTAATGTATCATCCGGAAACCGGAGAGTATACAGCAATGGAAGCGTTTGTTAAGGGGACTATTAATGGCTTGGAATAAGGGTGATCGTATTGTAGTGCTCCCGATATGGTGATATCAGATGCTCCCGTTGAAGTATTTGGCTGCCGGTGAAAGCGTTCTTCAGAGTTGTTACCAAACAGATGACACGTCCCCATTCGGACCCTACATTTGCCAAACATCGTGATGAAACTTGTGAATAATGAAGATTCAAACTGCGGACTGTCATCGACTTGTATAGTAGCGAAGAAGCTTAATCTTTGTAGTCACCGTTCTAAAAACCCATCAAATATGGTTGGAGACGCAACTAACCTCTGACCGTTGAGCGAAATTATTGACTAGTCAGTCTAAATATGCAGCTTTACTGGCCTGGTTGTTTTCTTTTTTATCTTTTTCCCCGTACCAACTTACACCCCGTACTAGTCTAGTTCCTACACCGGACTACTCTATAAACTCTGTCTAGCGTCTATTGTTCTCGTCCAAACTTTCCTGACGAAAACCAAATCAAAATTAGCTATTTCTTCCCCAAATCACTGCACGACTTAAGCACCTACCAATTCTAATTATGCTGTTACTGGCCTGGTTGTTTTCTCCTACCCCGTCAACTTATGGTTCATCCTAGTCTAGTCCCTACCCCGGATTACTCTATCAGCTCTGTCTAGTAACTGGTGCTTTCAGTCTAACTCTAACTAATAACAACCAAACCAAAGTCCATTTATTTCTTCATTTCATTATCAGAGCGCATCCTGCGCTTATATATATCCATTTGATGATTTGTTCCACTAAACACTCCCATGCACGATATCCCGGTACGCTTCTGCTCGACGTGGCAGCCCAAGCCAACGCTCCGACGCCGTTTAGCCTTGGTGCAATCGCCGTGAGTATCAACATTCCAGTCCCACCGACACATTGACAACTGTCATTTCACCTCTCCTCCTCGACTTGCCTCTGCCAGCGTCTGCATGCTGTTGCTCGTTCGGATTGACGGAGCTGTCTTTACTGGCCATGCTTTCCCCCGACCAAAAAAAGGTAGCTGGAGTATTTATTAATGCACAAACCGCACTTATGACTGTTCGGATGGTTTTCCAACTTGCAGATCTGGTAGCATGCACGAGGGAAAAAACCTCGTGTGGCGGACGGGTACGCCACGCAGAGGGGGTCGCCCTGTTACGTTGCACCATGGTGCGTTATTATACCCGCCACCCCTCCAGTAGCACGGGTGCATCGCTCGTAGCCGGTGGTTCTGAGTCTGGCCTTTAAATTCAGAAAATAAAAACGTACTGTTGACTTCTGCTTGTTGAAGGTGTTGGGCTCGCCTCGGTTGAGCTATGCATCTGGCAATGCCATAAACCACAGATGAATAAGTTGGCCTCGCATCTGTAAAAAGCAGTTCACTTGAGACAGCCCATAGATACTCTACAAGTGCCCATGGCCTACATCGGTGAGCATAGCTGTATCTGCCTTTGTCACAACAGGTGCCACACCGAACCAAAGCCCATTTCGTCATCCAAACACAGAATACATCTATTCACCGCTCCCAGTGATAGACAATGACTAGTGGTAGATACTTGCTATGCACCATCTACAAATTAGAGCTGATAGCAGTACTTCGGGGACTGGTGAGGTTTCCCCCCTGTGTTTATTAATGCATATTATCCCATTTTATATCCCCACAAATCCACCATGTTTTGCGCATCTCCTCCCATCCCATCATCGTCCCAAGCATTGAACTTCGGAAGTATCCGTTTCGAACGACCTGGTTAGCTGGTACCCACTCCACCTGGCCTATGATCTACAACTCCGGGATCGCCAAGCGGAACACAAAAATCCCAACAATCCCATATTGGCCTCGTTCCACCTTGTCCCCCCAGAACCGGGCTTAAATGAATACCGCTGCCCAGTGAACTACACACCCCAGCCGAATGATCTAAAATGCGATGTCCATCACGAGGCTGTCCAAAAACTGAAGCATGCCAGGCCAATGATGGCAGGGCACTGCCATACTCAGTTTGATAGCACACCCGCGACTGTTCAATTCCTCCTCCCAAACGAGCTCACTTGCCAATGCGATGCATTGACCCCAACCATCACCACGACATTCATTCCAACCTGTTGGACATCTCTTTCGAATACAACCACCTTTTTGTTCTCATCCAACCTAAACCCAGTACTTAACTTTCCTACAACAGTGCAACCAGCGAGTCTGCCTGTTCTCAGATTGCACCATATTTTGAGACTAAACTTGCCATGTTCTCTCAATTCAAATTATCGCATCTCCACATCCACCCTATCTCGTTGTGACTCCGGCCATTTACTCAACCGCCCAAGGTCATTCGTGGCCAGCAATGGCTTTCCAGTTCAAGTTCATGTCAACCAACCGAGCATTTGAATTAGTCGGACCTCATGCCCATTGTTCCCTACAAGTTGCGAAACAAACCCGTTATCATTATTTCATCGAATATTCCTCAGTGTTCATAACGTTGTCCCCATTTCGCGGAATCCCCACTAGCCGCAAATCCCCCAGTCACATGCCCCATTCTGACTGTAAACGCATGATCACGCCCGAAGATATGCTACCCACAATTTGAGAAATAGACATAATTATCGTTATGATCATTAAAGTCTGGTAGGTACTTGACGTAGATCAGAAACAGGAGTGGTCCCAAGACGGAGCCTTGAGGAACTCCAA